GGCCGCTCCGGCTGGAAGCGCTGTCGGCAGCGGATATTGGGAAACGGCATCACGCCCCCTCTCATTAAGGAGATTCAAAGCGTCCCGTTTCTTTCTGTGTTTCCTGACTTCTTAGGTGTCTGGATACATGACTTGCTGTTGACCTTTTTGGCAGCAGTAGTTAATGCTGCAACTTGTGCTATTAAGTGGTAGTTGCCATGCACACTTTTATTTTAGCTCTGACAGCTGGTGTTCCAGAAAAGGCATAACTGCAGGTCAGCTGGGAGACAGCAGTCCTCAGTATGTGCTACGCACCCCTGCAGTTCAAGCGTTGTTCCCAGTAGGCTTGTTGGACCTGCCGGCTCCATTAGTGGTTGTTATGCTGAGTGGCCATCCACAGGGATCAAAAAAGTCTGGAAGGTAACAGCACAGATGAAGTGCCAAGAAGGGCTCCCTTGTCTAGTACAAGTCTTGTGTTATCATTGTGGGCACAGGGCAAAAATCTGTGCAGGGTTTCTGGTGCGGAACCTATAAACAACTTGGGAGAGCAGCTGTAGTGTCTGAAACCAATAAATGTCTGTGCTGGATTGAAATACTGATAGTGGCCCTAAGTTTAGGGGAGAGGAAGAGGGCAAGCTTGCTAGGATAATTCCCCTTGGTGAGCTAAGGTTTAGGGAGTACTTGACCCAGAGAGAATTGTGTTTTGTCATTGATATGTCTGTTTTCCTATGGATTTGTGCAGGTGCCTGTACAGTGCAGAATAAGTTTCACCATGCTGGAAAAACTTTTCAGCGTACAAAAAGCCCGGTCCTCTGGTTTGATTCAAGTGGTTGTTCAAGACTGCTGCTTTATTTCATTTGAAGCTCTGCTGCAGTCGCGGTATGAGAAATGGTGAATAATCTCATTCTACTTAGACTTCATACATGTCATCTATGACTTTTGTAGAGCATGGTGTTATATTCTCTTGGTTATCATTTTTCCAAACCCTTACAGCAAAGACATTTTGCACCTTTTATCTTCTCTTACCTTCTGCTATGTTGTTTTTTGGATTTGTTTTTTTCTTCTTGTTTTCATTTAGAAGGAGCTGAACTGTTTATCATTCAAAATGGAGAAGTGCTATGGATTTATCACAGCAGCATTCTCTTTAATTTTCTAGTCTTACTCATCCCTGTAATATACTTTAATATACTTTTGCTTGGTCTTTTTTTGGAACAGTGTTGATAACTGAAAGGGTGTTTCTTAGGTATGTTTACCAAAACTTATGGTAAACTCTTTTGTTTCCTAACAACTAATATAGAGATAAACATTCTGTAAATAAAATCAGGGGCTTCTCCCTCTCCCTGCCCTCAGTGTGCTTTACTTTGTCTATGTCAGAATTGTTATACTGATTTGTACTATGAGCCCAGCTAGCCCTCTGTCCTGTCTCCGGCAGTAGTCATAAACAGATGCTCAGGGAAGAGTAAGAACAGGACAAACATAAATAATATTCCATTTAAGTGTTTTCTTAGCTGTCAGCTGTTTTCAGCTCAGGGGATTTTCTGAGCCTGATACAGCTCAGCCCCTCAGTGGGTCTCTCTTCCGAGTGTCCGCTTACACATGTAAACAGTTTCAGGGTGAGAGCTTCCTGGCAAACTCCCTGCCTCTTGGCAAAGAGTCCCACAAGGCATACTATCCGTTCAATTTCCTGCTATTTGATTATTTGAGTATGTGGTATTCCACGATCTTTCTGCAGTTCGTCAGTGAGTTTTTAACTAGTCTGAATAATCCAGTGTTGTTGATGAAACTTTTCAACCTTGGTATTTGTGCTGATTTCCAAATTCATGTAGCGTTGAAGATGGTACATAGTTTATAGCTAAAAGACAATATAGGACTAAGGATATTGTCAAAGACATCTGGAAATTCAAGTTCATTCTCTTAAACAGATCAACTGTTACCTATATATTCATTGACTCTTTCACTGAACTGTAGCAGGACTGTTCTTCTCCAAGAGACTTTTGTAGTTTTGACTCTTCCCTAAGGATTGTCAGTTACCTTCTTACAGCTTTTTTTTTTTTTTTTTTTCCCCTGCTTGGCAAGTGCAAAGATTACCTTGGGTCATCTGTAGTACATTCACAGAGTCCATCCCAGGATTACAGACAATCAAACCAACACCCAGTGTCCCATCTATTACCCTTCATTTCTCTGGTACCAGGTGTGTCTGATCACTGTAGCTGTTAGTAATTCAATATTTCAGTTTCTCTAGGATCTCTGAGTGACTGTTATGCATTACTCCAGACTTGGTTACTCTTGGGCGGTAGAATTCATTGTATTAAGATCTGGAGAATCTTAGCCTTCATAAAGAGTTTCAATGTGGGGAACCTTCCTGAAGGTCTCAATAATGAATCCTGAGTGATGGGGAAAAAAAAATCATTTAGCTTTTGTCTTGTCTTTGAGATTCTTATTATATTCTGAATAGCAACCAACCCTGCAGACTGTCTTACAGTCTTCCTTCTTGAAATAGGTTTTATCAGTTTGTAGGTTTCTAAGCGGTTCCACTGGAGTTTGTGGTAAGCTCATGCAATTCAGGTTCCCTGGACAGTCTGGGGATTGTAATCCCCTTCCGCTACTTGCTATTTGTCACCCCGTGATTAGCATGATGTTAGAATTGTCTGTTCATGCTATCATCCAGGCATATCCAGAGATATATTTCCCAAAATGTAAATATTTTTTTGTACTCGGTGAAGTAGAATTGCTGCTTGCCAGTGAGGTTCTACTTTAAGTGTCCTTTCAGCTCTGGTTTGGTTTTTGGGTTCTCTGAGTAATAGTTTGTGCTTGGATTGTTCGTTTTCTTTATTTAGGAAAGAATTATCCATTAAACATCATTGCATGAGCAAAAGATTTTATCTCTTGTAAAAACACATCTCAGACCAGAAATAAACTGTTGTTGCTCTGCAAGCACTTCGGCTTTTCTCTGGCCTTCCTTGAACGTGTAAGGAGGGTGTTAACTCTGTTCTGTTTAGACCGTTTTATCCGAGCTCTCTTTCTGTCACTTAGCTGTAAGAAGTTACGAAGTTGATGTGAATGTCTTTACAGTATTCTAGCTTCTTTCTTGGTTTTGGAAGTTGTGGCATTTCATAACAGCTTTTGCAGTTTAGGTTGGAGCTTATCCAAGAAGCTCTAAGTTAGCTAAAACTCCTTAGCCCATGAAGAGCATGAGCAGAAGATGCTAGATGATGAGCTCAAGTATGCATTTTAAACCAAAGGCAACTTGTAAGCAGCCCAGTAGGGCAAATCCTAAAGGATCCTCTATTTCTGTCTTAGTGTCTAGTTTTATGCTGTGTATAGTCTTTCAATATCATACACAATCTGATAATCCTCTCTGATACATTTAACCTTAATAGATGATAGATGTCAATGGATTTCTCTTTCATCAAGCTTGTTTATTTTCCTTCAGGTCGCATGTATATGTTAGCTATTTATACCAGGGATGGTGTAGGCACATGGCTGTAGGTTTGGAGTCTGCTCAGCACATAGAGAACCCTGTGTCTTGGCATGTCAAGCTGCATGTGCTAATTAAACCTGAAACCAGCTCTTTGATTTCTGGTTACTGTACAGTGATTATTGAGTACTCAGAAGTAAACCCAACTTGCATAACCAGAATTTGATATTCCTCTGTCCTGTCTTACCATATGGTTCTTAGGTTTTGCTTTGGTACATGCATATTATGTTAGAATCATAGGATAATTTGGGTTGGAGGGGACCTCAAAGTTTCTAGTTCAACCTCCTGCTCAAAGCAGGGTCAACTCCAAGGTCAGAGGAAGCTGCTCAGGGCTTTATCCCATCTGGTTTTGAAAATGTCCAAGAATGAAGGCTATACAACCTCCTTTGGCAAACTGTTCCAATGCTTTTTCTGTATTATACCCTGGTGAAAACAACAGAGGTTTCTATGCCGAAGTCAAGGAGGAGAACCATGAGTGTTGAAGTGGTGGCCAGGCTTCATGGAGTAAAATACCAAAGCTCTGTCCTCTCTGGCACAGGATCAAGCACTCCTGGTCTAGGTGCACTTGTAAGCCAGTATGGGTTTTTAATTTTTTTGTTGTTGCTGTTTATTTTTTATTATCAGTTCTCTCATTGGGAAAACTTAACTCTTCCACATTAGTCTCATTTAAGTTCATGAGATCACTTAGCTTTTTGGCTAAATACTGCAGATTCTTGTGGAACTAACCAGGCAAACTGAATGAATGTATGGGTCTGGAATGTTTCTGTGAATTACCAAAATCATAATTTTATGGTATCACTTAAACAATTTTTCTGCCTACTAATATGACGGGAGAACCTAAGTTACTGGGACTGCTTGTTTCTGCTTTTTGTTTTTCGTAAATGTTAGTGGAAAGCAAATGTGAATGTTTTCAACAATGTATTTTTCTGAACTTTTAACATATTATTGAGTTGGAAAAAAGATCATCAGTGATCTGCTCCTAAGTATGGCAGACTTACAGCCTCAGAGTAGCAAATACTATAATCTGATGCCCTCAATAAGTAGTTTTTCCTAGACTGAATTATTTTACACGCTTGCTCACTTACTGGTAAGCTTCCTCTACGAGCAGAGAAGTGGATCATCATGAAGTACTTCTAGTAGTCCAGGGCTGCTGAGTCACTTTAAAAGACGTAATTTTCCAGTCTATTTAAAATACTGTAGCTTAAGGTGGTATTTCTGGGGTACTCCTGCCTACATTCTGATACCAAAGTTATTTTTTTCCCTATGTACCTTTATTTCCAATACAAGTCCTTTGCACCTCAAAGATCTTCATGCATTCTTTGAGGTTTGTGTGGCTGAACTTGGCTTCAGCCCTCATCCTTGCTAAGGAGAAATCAAACTAGCTATATTTGGAGCTTTGGCACTGAAACAGATTGTATCCTGTTCCTCCTTGCTTTTTGAAATTTTGTTAGCAATATTATCCAGCTTTTAGCCTGCCTTTTTGTGGAGTCATTTATCCTTGCTTCAGGAAGACAATTTGTGAGACAGAGGGGCTCTATTCCTTCTCCACTAATTTTTGCTGCATGAAGGCTAGCAAAGCGCCGTCACTCTGCAGAGGATCAAGGCACAAAGTATGTTTCCAGGAATTCCTTGTGTTTCTTCACAGCATGCTCATGAATCCCTAGACTTCTGTGTCCTCTTTTGGCACCCATCTTTGATACAACTAGGATTACACTACTAATCTACCTTTCAAACGATGGCCATAATATGCCCTGCAGGATCAGAAGTTTTTATTAACCTTATTCTTATAAAAGTCTTACTAAGTTGGTATTGTGGCTAAACTGACTCCTTTTAAGCCTTTTCCTTGCCCCTTTTGACAGAAGCAATAAGGGCAAGAGGGTATCAAGCTGATTGAATTCAAAGATTTGCACAAGCAAAATGGCTTTTGGACCTCTCTCTTCTCAGAAAGCAAAATAGCAAAAGTCTTGGATGTAGATCCTCCCAAGGACCGTGCAGTTTTCCAGTGGGTGAATTGAGCAGTTTTGAGCAAGACAGCTTGTATTTAAAAAATAATATTTCTTTCTTTTTAAACTCTCCAGGTTTGTGCTGTGCAGGGACATACTGTTTCAAGCATAGGTGTTTGGAGAGTGCCTCTATTTGTGTCTCTGGGAACTGTGTTTAAACAATCCAACTGCTCCCTGAGAAGTAAAACCTTATGGAAAAGTTTGGTCTCAACTTCAGAACCTGTAGATTAGCATCAATCAAATTGAAATAGCTCAGATACCACTCAGATATTTTTAGTCTGGTGAAACTGTCTAGGCTTTACCAACATAAAACCTTGTGGTGCTGGCCCTCAAACCTCTGATGATAGTCACCAGCCCAGTTTGCCAGGTTTTGTGCTTTTACACGCTTCAAAGTCTATCTTAGAGTTTACTTAAATGTAAGAAACATGTAGTTTGATTAAAATCTTGATCACGGTATTTCTTTCTTGGAAGTGGGGTGAGCTCAAGTGGCAGAAAAATGCTTTTTGAGAACTATGAGCCCATAAATTACTCCCTTGATAAATAAGATTCTAGATTTGGATATCAAAACATTGGGGACTGGCTGTGTGAAGATTCAGAAAATAATGTGATAACTGCAAAATAGAAACAGGGAAGGAGACAAGTGTCTTGCAGTCAATAAAGGTACAAAGAACCCTCCCCCACTCCATTGGTGTGTTAAAAGGGATTGTGTGGTGGAATATGGTATAAAAACTTAAATACCAGCCCATAAATTACACGCTTGAGTTACCTACAAGACCTAGTGACTTTTCTTTGTGGAAGCCTATGAACAGTAATAGGGTGAGGTGATTCAGACTAGAGGCAAACATGCTTCTTCATGTTGTAGGGGTAATTCAGGCCTTTGAGAAGGCTAGGGAAGAATGACGCATGCAAACTCATGGTTTTGTGTTACGCTGCTTGCTAGTTGAAGCAGTATAGGTCTAAGTAAGACCTATGTATTTGCTGTTGAATCTTATTACTCTATGTGGGGCCTCAAACAACCTGACAGCCTTCCCACCCCAAAACCCATGTCAGGGTACCCAAATGTCTCAGTAGCATTGCTAATAGAATAATTGATGACTAGGGTAGCTATGAGATGGAGGTGGAGTTTGGGAGTAGGTTAAAAAAAAGATAAAACTTCACTAAAGGATCACACCCTGCTGATTCCTTGCCAGCAGTAACAGTCACTCTGCTGCCTTCTAATATTCTTTCTTGAAACTGGATGGCTGTTCACGGCCTTACAGTTTTCAGTGTCGATTGTTGACAGTGACTAGTCATGCAATTGAAAGTATGGGGCCAAACTTTGCAAGAAGGTTCTTTAGTAACAAAGAAGCTGCTTTTTTCCCTACTATATGTAGTTACTCTATAAAGTAATCAAGTACTATGTTAAATAGATCTGACTCTTCTCATTCTGTTGCTAATAAAACTGTTTTAATTCTAGATTTGGATATCAAAACATCGGGGACTGGCTGTGTGAAGATTCAGAAAATAGAATGTGATAACTGCAAAATAGAAACGGAGAAGGGGACTAGTGTCTTGCAGTCAATAAAGGTACAAAGAACCCTCCCCCACTCCATCGGTGTTTTGAAAGGGATTGTGTGGTGGAATATAGTGTAAAAACTTAAATACCCGTTCTGGAGATGAGAAGTACTCTGATATTTCTAAATGTTACTATGTGTGTAAGACCTCACCTTTATTTATTGCATACCATTAAAACACAAAGTCAATAACACTAAATAATGTGGAGTCAGAAGTCCAAGTACCTTTGATGATAGCCAAAGCCAGCAGAAACAGTGACAGCAGTTGGCCTGATATCTGCTCTCCCCACACCTCAAAAAAAAAAAAGACTGGGATTTCCTGTCTAGTAGGTTAATAGTTATGCTTGCTCAGTCGGGACTGTGCAGTATGCTGCTTATTTTTTTTTTCTGTGTTTTTCTTTTTTTTAATAATTCTCATATATCAGTGGTGTTGACAAATTCTTTAGGTTAATTTTCAATCAGAAGTTACACAAAATACATGACTGAAATATATCTGATAAATACCATGTGTATCATGGTCATGACCTTGATTTTTCAATCTTAAGACTTCAGGTTTGCTGAGATATACTTTGATTATTTCTACAAAAGCCTATCTGACTTAGGTGCTGTTTGGAATCAAATTCACTTGAATAATTGGGATTGTACCTGCAGGAATTGGTATAAATTCAAAAGAAGGGCTTTTCAAATAGGGTAATTCCTAAGTTTAAGTATTTTTGAGATATGAAAAATCTTTCAATATTTTTCTCTATCGTGGTAAGAGATGATTTTATAGTGCATATGTGGGAAACTGAACTTAAGGGGAAATTTAATATACAATAGAGCTAGGTTTAATTCATATTCAATGAACTACAGAGAATTTGTATCTTCCAGATTCTGTGTAATTTACCATATTACTCTTAAAAAGGTAACCAAAATCTAACCTAAAGTTAACAGTACTATATGTGTTACTGCTGTCCAAAGCTTTGGTTAAAAATGACTCTGCTGTATAATAATAGCAGCAAACAGCAGTACATGAGAAACTGCATAACATGGGAAAACAAGGTAGTTTTGGCCAGCAATAGTGACAGTAATCACAGCATGCCATCACAATTGTCAAGGATTTTTTGTGATGTCATGGAAAAAGAGGATTTTGAGGAAAGAAAACTAACTAGTTTTGTGGGCATCTTTTCTCATTCAACAAAACGTTGAACTGGCTTTTTCATTTTTAAAATTCTATTTTCCTTGAGACTTCAGGTAGCAATGAAGTAACACTCTAATGAACTGAAAAGAAGGCTGCAAAGTCACCAGTTTGAGGCTTCTGAGAGCAACACCTCTGCGGCCTCAGTATAGTTTAGAGGAGCTTGGTGTTGCTTTTTTCCTCTGTCAACTTTGAGCCTTGCTTGATTCACAAAAATGCCAGGAAAACTGCAGGTGTGACAGATGATTCTTCCCCTGTGCATGTGCCTCAGTGTGGCCACTACACTTAGTGGCCCTTAAGCCTCAGGTGAGAGGCTCCCTTAAGCCTCAGGTGAGAGGAACAGCCGTGTTGCAGAAGGCAGAAAGCATTTAAAATTTAAAGTATCAAGAACTGCAGATATCAACTGAAACTCTTGTTAAAACAAAACTGTGGTAGATTATAAGGCTTTGGCTTTTTTTTAACCAAAATAGTTACCTGAAGTATTCTTTTGGGTTGTGAGTGGTGATTGGTTGTCTTTGTTCTGGTTATTGTGGCGGCTTCAGCATACAGTACTAGAGCGGACATGTTACCACTCTTGATTTTGTTGACTCTGAAGTAGTGAGATGAAGGTTTTTAATTTAAAATTACTGACCATGTAGGTGTTTGTGAGAGCAAACTATTGTTCAGTTACAGTATCTCTTAGCCATACAATCAGTTTTTAGTCTAACGTTGTTAAGAAGTACTGTAGTTCTAGTAAGGCAACTGTAACCCAGTTTTTCTAATGTAGATTCAGAAATTATACTCTATTAGCGGAGAAGTAGAATTTTTAGTGAGAAGCAGAATTATTAACCTTTTGTTTTTTTTAAGGCTACTGAAAATCTTGTAGACTAGATTCTGTAGTGCAGCGCAAGAGCCCATTCCCCTTTAGGGAGTGTGCTTTACTGAGCAAACTGAAGTGATACTGCCCTCCCCTGGATGGATTAAAGAGCTGTTTAATGTTGCTTCACTGTCATGCTGTCCACAAACCTCATTGACTAGCAAAGCAGGAGATCCTTTCTTTGCAGTAGAGAGCAAAAGATCTTTGATCAGTGACTTTAAACAAAAAAAATCTGGTCATGTGGGGATTATTCAAGAGCACCAGCCAACAGCTTCACAACTGCTAATTCTCTTAACTTGTGACAGACTGCAAGAAGTTGTTTGTATAACTTGTAATTCAAAAAACTTGCTGATTTTTGGTATACTGTGTAGGGTCTTTACAGAAGACCTAGAAATTTGACATCTGCTTTCATTAATCAAGCGTGCTAGTAATTGAACAGAAAGGATGAGTATTCTGTATGGGTTTTTTAGTGGATTTTAGCTGGTGCTTTTGGTGTGGTAGGCATTATCCAGCCAGTGACATTTGTTGAGGGTTGTTTTATTGAGGGTTTTTTTTGTTGATTGTTGTTTTTGTAATTGGCTAAAGCCCAGTTCACTCTATCCCTTTCAAGTCTCTAGGTCAACTGATAGTAGCATGTCGTGGTTTAACCCCAGCTGGCAACTAAGCCCCACACAGCCGCTCGCTCACTCCCCCCACCCCAGTGGGATGGGGGAGAGAATCAGAAGAGTAGAAGTGAGAAAACTCGTGGGTTGAGATAAGAACAGTTTAATAATTGAAGTAAAATGAAATAGAATAGTAGTAGTAGTAATAATAAAATACAATAATAATATACAAAGCAAGTGATACATGATACAATTGCTCACCACCCACTGATCGATGCCCAGCCTGTTCCCGAGCAGCGATCGCTGCCCCCCAGCCAACTCCCCTCAGTTTCTATACTGAGCATGATGCCATATGGTATGGAATAGCCCTTTGGCCAGTCTGGGTCAGCCCCCCTGGCTGTGCCCCCTCCCAGCTTCTTGTGCACCGGGCAGAGCATGGGAAGGTGAAAAGTCCTTGGCTGGTGTAAGCACTGCTCAGCAACAACCAAAACATCAGTGTGTTATCAACATTATTCTCATCCTAAATCCAAAACACAGCACTATACCAGCTACTAGGAAGAAAAAATCAACTCTATCCCAGCTGAAACCAGGACATAGCAGTAATTCCAAAATACAGTTACGACTTCTAGGTCTTCTTCAGAGTATAAATTATTCCAAAATTCTTTATTGGGAAAGCAGTGCTGCTTCTTTTTAATTTTTTCTGCTGCTTTTTATTACAGTCCATCAGGTTAGCAGTGACAGCGGGATCAAGGAGACCCTTTAATTTTGTTTGTATGTTCAGCGATTACTTCTGACTCTCTGACTGTGCCAGGGATAACAAGAATTTCCAGGTGTCTCATGCACGATCAGTGGAAGACCTGCCATGCTTCCTCACCACACACCATGTCTGAGCCTGATTTGTTAGTCCTGCACCACTGTCCTTCCTTTGTTGGAACTGAACAAATTTTTCTGTTTTTAACATCTGTCATGGCCTTGACAGCCTTTTACCTCTTCCTTACTCAAACCTTTCTCCCTTGCTAGGAGAAGCCCTATGATAAATTAGTGCTTCTTACTTTCAGCTAGTGGAATATTCCCTCTTAACGAAAAAGCTACTTGACCATTGTAACTTGCTTCCTCTCTCAGCAAATCCTGCTGTCTGTTAAGTGTCTCTATTGATACCTACCTCTTAAAGCCTGTTCTTTTTAAGAGGATAGGGATAGTCTAATAATCCTGGGGAAAAAAAGTTGAGGGATCTGTGTCTTATCAAACCCTTTTCTATCCCAAAAATGATAGAATAAAAAAAATTGAGGAAATAAGCGTGTATGTCATGGGTTTATTTTGCTTAACTATCAGTGGCCATACTGGTAAGCCATCACTATACGCTAATTCTTCTAATCTTATGAGTTCTGGTATTTTCCTCAAGTTGTATGCCTGGAGGATTTGCTCTTTAACCATAATTCTGATAATGTGCCTAGTGTAACTGTCTCAGAGGAACTGTGATGTCTGGCTGAAGCATCTAATTTAACTTTATCCTGTTTACTGTATATGGAGAGAATCATCTATTATATTTGTATAGAAGCTTAACTGAACAGCCAAGTTATTTACAACCTTTAAAAGGTCTGAATCGCCACTGTAGTCTCAAGTTAGGGGCGTTGCATTTCACTGTGGGGAAGCCTCTTAAATGAAGAGGAGAAAGCAAGACTTGAGGACACAAAGGTTAAGAAACATTGCTCTAGAGTTCTTCCTGTTTTATGAAACCCCATGAAACTTCTGGTTCTTGGTGCTTCATCAGAAATGTCAGAGCAGTATAAGTCCATGTTTTCCATATTCAAAACTTGATTTCATATATTTATTTTTTTAAAAAAAAGTCCTTAATCTTGTTGCCATTTAGTATGGCTTATCCAGACAGGTTTTTAATAATCTAAATATCTTGAATATTTCTGATATGCTTGATTGTCAAATGTAATGGATGGTGTCCTAAATTAAATACCATCTACAGGAGTAGTACCCTTTCCAACAGAAACGAATATATCTGAAAATGGAGGTGGTGGTATGGGAAAATGAAGGATGTGTGTGTGGGAAGCTTATCCAGCATTAAGTATAAAAAATGCTGAGGGTTTTTTTTAATTCTATTATTCCAATGTTTACACTAGTGAACTTAAGCAAAAGAGCTTTGCTGTTGAGATCTGTAGACTTTGTAAAGTCAGATTTGTTGAAGTTGCAGCTTATAATAGTGATGTCACTTAAATCTAATTTTTAATTTTTTTTTCTTTTTCCCTTCTCCCTTCTTATAAATGGTTGTTTTTTACTCTCAAGACCTGGGGTGTTTTTATCTTTCTGAGATTAGGTTGTGTGTATTTCTGTAAAATTTTTTTTTTTCTTGTCAGTTGTATACAGCAGCAGCTGAAAGGTATAAGGGCTATAGCATTTTTTTACTTGAAACCTGGTTTCTTTGTGGAAAAACTTGAGATTGTAATGCAGATGTACCCAAAATACCTAATTTGAAAACACTGTAGGATCTGGTTCTACTTGCAGGCCTAAAGTTTACACTGGTATCCATCTGTAGAAGTTTATGGCTATACATACTACTCCAAGCGTAAGTAGCTCTGTGGTGTGTTTGTATATATATGATTATCCTACAGAATTCTGTGACACTGTAGGTTCCAGGTCACTGGAAGGCTCCAGTTTGCAAGTTCATTTCTCACTGCCAGCTCGTGTTTCTCATCTGCTGCAGCATTGGGTATATGCATACCTTGGTTTCTGGATGGACTATAAATGAAGCACAAAGTTCCCTCTTTCCTCCCCTGCTGCTCATTTTAATGTATACTGAGTGAATGTTTCTAGTTAAAAGAACCAAACCAAAACCAAAAAACCCACCTGTATGGACAATAAAGAGTTCCTCAGCATTGTTCTTTCCCTTGTGTTTCTGGTTACAAAGAAAAGTAACTTGTTTTGAGTTCGACTCCACTGGAAATAAACAGCACATTTGGCAATCACTTGTGAAAAAACCTTCACAGTAAAATGGAGGTTTGTGATCCAAGGTGGTTATTGTGGTACAGCTTGAAAAACAAGATAACTTGTTTTCTAATTATGATTATCCTAACCATATGATTTTTAAACTTTTTTTTCAGAGCCATAAAATTGATATACGGACAAACGGTGGCAAAGTAATTGGTCTTGGAACTCTTTATGGAAATACAGATATTCGTGCAACAGAGAAGGGTGTAAGTAAGAAGTAAAACTTTCTTTTCAATGGCTTATTCAGCTTGTCTGCAAAATGACTACATTTTGAAGAATGTGCCGAAGAATATTTAATGACCCTCATTGGTTGATTGTCATTTCATTATTAACTTACATTTGTCTGTTTAACTATACTATCTTATCTTATGCTTGATTTGGATTAGTAAACAGACTCCACAGAAAGAACAGTAGTAAGCATGCGATCATTCCATCAGCACAGAGGTTGTACTAGCTGATACAACTCGTCAGCTTTACTTATGCAGACCCTCACAACAGTCTTAAACTTTTTATTTGGCTGATATCTAGGCACCTGGATCCTGCAATAGGCCCATGAGTTCATTTTAGCGTCTCATGAATACTGGCTTGATATTTGTACATGCTGTACACTTCCAGCATTATATGGTTGTAAGAATGGAAGAGTAGAAAGTTTTGTATATTTCTTTGCAGCTGAGGAAATATAATCACATATAATCTTGTTATGATATGCAGTGAGAAGAATCATGAACAGGAAAACGGTTTCATAGAGAAGTAGCTTGCTTTTTTCAGTAGATGGCAGTACGAGATAAACCTCATACTACTCTAATCTAGTTTTGTTTCTTGGCGTAAGTAGTCAATTCTCCATTATTTAAAATAATGTAGAACTAGGCTCCCTTACATAATACTACAGTTCTCACATCCAGTCTGGTTTTTAGGCTCAACTTGAATGTTTAGGTGTCATAATGTCCATGCAACTAGTTGCATTAGGATTCATTAGATCAGAAGCATTGCTATATGAACATGTGGAGCCAAGCCAAGTCTGAAAGTAGCCTGGATGCATGCAGTACTCTATCAGAATCAATAGGTACCCTTAAAACCAGCAGCACTGGGAAGAATCAGAAAGAGTGCAGGTAGCTCTCCCTAGCCAAGGATAGACTTGAGACCAAGCTATTAAGTTCTAGGAGTCCAGAATTGCCTTTGTGAAGTGCCATTTGGCACTGTTGTACGCCTTGTAGATTGGGTTCTGAGATCATATCTTCACTTACATAGAGCCAGCTGTGAGCTGTTTTTAACATCCTGCTGTAAACTAAGCAACTTGCCATTGGATTTTCCAAACCCTGTCAACATTAAATTACCTGCATTTCTTTGTAGTGGATGCTAGCCTGCCTTTTATGTACAAAAGAGCCAGGAGGCTGCTGTAGCTGTACTATTGTTGGAGGTTTAGTCTGGAGAAAAGGAGGCTGAGGGGAGACCTTATTGCTCTCTACAACTACCTGAAAGGAGGCTGTAGCGAGGTGGGGGTGGGTCTCTTCTCCCAAGTAACAAGGGATAGGACAAGAGGAAATGGCCTCAAGCTGCACCAGGGGAGGTTTAGATTGGGTATTAGGAAAGATTTCTTCAGCAAAAGGGTGGTCAGGCACTGGAACAGGCTGCCCAGGGAAATGGTTGAGTCTCTATCCCTGGAGGTATTTAAAGGACGGATAGACGTGGTGCTCAAGGACAAGGTATAGTGATGGACTTGGCAGTGCTGGGTTAACGGTTGGACTCGATGATTTTAAAAGATCCTTTCCAACCTAAACGATTCTATGATTGCTTTCTCTTCATGAACATTATTTCATTCCAGCGAGACCTCCCAGCATAAAGTGGGGTGGGTAAGGTCTGACTGTGATATGCTCTGTTGATGCTACAGTTGGCCTGATCAGTGCTAATCGATTGGTAGTTCCCTTGGGACTATTGCTAGTTAGTGAAGTTAGGATCCATCCTAAGCCACTAGGAGCCACAGGGAGCAGAATAGGGCAGAGGTAGTTTACAGCTTTCTTTGTGTGTCATCTGTCTTCCTGCAGAGGGCTTCTGGTGGAAGGAGCTGAAAACTGGAATCCTTGCTTTCTACCAGTGAAAAAGATTTAGTGCAATCTAGGAAGGGCTTTGACTGCTGTGAATTCATGCTGTTTACCCCGTACTAGCATGGTGGTGGTCTTTAGAGTTGTGCTGCTTAGTCATTTGTCCCAAACTAGTTTGTTACACCAGTGCAGTCCATGGAATTCATTTCAAATAGCATCTTGCTTGTGTTGATAAAAACAAGTGGATGGTAGAAAAATAATTAGATCTATATCTACATGAAAATGTAGTTCATGAAAATGAGAAATATAATTGTTTTGCTTTGAGTCTTTAAATGCTGTTTAAAAATCTCACTTTTTTCAGACACTGTCCTGAAACAATAAAATAAACTTCATGCAGATTAAGTTGAAGTGCTTCTTTGTGACCATAAATATTTATATAGTCTGTAATATTGCTAGAAGTCACTCGTACAGTTGTAAAACTGTAGTAACTTGAGTGAAGTGAGTCATTTTAACAGGAATTTACAGCTATGGAACAATATTTTGGCTTATGTTATTTAACTTCTCATTAACAAACTCTGCTGTGTACTTAGGAAGGACAGTGTGAGATTTCTTTTCTCAATTGGCCACTTCTGTTAATAATCAGTCAGCCTTACGTCTCCTCTGTGTGTCTGTATGAAATGTTTCTTCCATCAGTTGTAGTCATCATTATGTAATTATGGCTCTGTCAGCATTTCCAGCCCCCTCCTGGAGGTGGGGAGGGAAAGGATGTGGTAAAAGACACTAAACCCTTAAGAAACAGAATATTTTTAAGGGGGAAAATAGAGAAGACACTTGTAAAATATTTGAGCAAGGATAGTATAAGAAGGAAGGCCAAGAAGAAGAATATGTGGGGAAGGAGTTGTTTATGTCTTATTTAAACATAGCAATATGTTAGTTTTCATTTTGAAAATGTGTTCAGGTGCAAAAACATTCTCAGTCTGATTTATGAAGATAGACTGACCCTTTTTCTTCAAAGGGTAAGAAACTGATGGAACTTGAGCATGTGGTCAGTCTCAGTAACTGCAACTCCCAAGGCTCTACTCTCAAGGAAGGAATTTTTCCAGAAAAACTGGTGGTTCGATGGACAAAAATAATCAAATTTGTTTGACTGGGGAATCATTAGCTAATCTGTGCCACAGGGATTTTTTCTGTAACACTTACTTAGCAGAAACAAACATCTTTGTTTTGCCAAAAATTCATAAAAGTTAAAGAACTTGGGATTGAAAATGTTTTTAGTCTCAGTAAAAAGCAATCCTGTTTTTTTTTTTCTTCATGCTTTCCCTATCTAGAATACTTTTTTAGTCTTATACTTGAGCAGTCTGACTCCCCCCTGCCCCACCATTTGGGATATTCTGAAACAAATGTTCATTGTATTGGTAGTTTTTGTTTTGTTTTTTATAGTAACTAGCTGACTCAGTACTTCTTTTTAGAATCATGGAATCGTTTACATTGGAAAAGACCCTTAAGATCATCAAGTCCAACTGTTAACCTAACAATACCAAGTCCACCACTAAACCATGGTCCTAAGCACCACATCTACCTGTCTTTTAAATACCTCCAGGGATGGAGACTCAA